TTGATTGCTATTTTTTTCCATGGAAAACATTTTCCAACTTTTGAAAATATGCCTAATTTTCCTTGTTTTTAAGGAAAACATTTTCCTTGGGTAGAGATGGTTTTTATTTTCCACAAAAGATGGAAAATATTTTCTTTTCTAGATGATATTTTCCATATCAATCAAACACACTCTAAGTGTATTTTTGGCAAAGCTTACACGTTCCATAGAACTCACAACATATAGGAACTTAAAAACGCTTGCAAGCACTAAGAATGATATTGTCCCAAGTCACTACGCTAACTCTAAAAAGAAAGCACCTGCTTGCTAAACCCTTCAAATGAAAACAAACATGAATAATTTTTTCTCCATAATAGATTGAGAAAATAAAGGTATACTAGGAAGCTTCTGAACCCAAGTACACATCCTGAAACATATAAAACTCACTATCACACACAAGCATCTACTATAAACCAATGGGGAATAAACGTAGTTTAATTTTATATTAGATTATTATTGTCTTTTATAGTTTCGTAGTTTGACTAGAATTAGGTTATTGTTTGATAGGTTTTCTTGTTTCGCTAAATAAGGGTATATTCACTTTGTTTCCTTCTCAAATTAGATTGCTTAGACTCAAAAGAAAGAGGGCTTATATATTACAATACAAAACTTTAATATGAAATAAATATCAATAAGGGTATATTCACTTTGTTTCCTTATCAAATTAGATTTGCATAGACTCAAAATAAAGAGGGCTTATTCATTACAATACAAAACTTTGATATGAAATAAATTGATATTCTCTCCCTCTAAATTCTCTCCTTTCCTTCCCTCTTCTTCTCTTTCTTCCCTCTTTTCTCCTTTTCTCAATATTGCTCTTGTTCGTCGCATTCTAGGTCAATTACTTAGTTAGGTTAGAACAAAACCATTGCCCATATCAAATACTACTCTGGATCAAACTTTGAAGCATCATACTATCAGAATTACATATTTTTCACTAAAAGAAGTGCAGGACTCAATAATCAATATGCACAAGGTAATGATGTGTATACAGTTATTCTCTTGTTTCCATAGAAAACTTGAATTAGTAGCTTCAAGTTAATCATCTTATGTCTGATATGTTGTGCAAGTAAAATTCACTACCTAATTAGAAGAAAATTTATCCAAGAATTGGCATTACCAAGTTCAGTGAAACCAGTCTCGATTTTTGCCTGGAGTAAGAGAGTATTCACGACTTCTCTCTGGCTCATGTAAAGCTGAAGACACCTTTCTATAAGATTTTGAACCTGATATTAGAGAAAAGCACAAATTTAGCACCATGACGGCAGATATTTAAAAATATACACTGAAAAAAGAGGGGGAGGGAGAGCTACTATTGCTTCCACTGGGAAGATTTTAAGTCAAGATTGCCAGAAATGCAATGACCTAAACCTAATGAGAAAAAACCGTCCTTAGTTCAAAGATCATGGACGATTAAATTTTTGCACGTCATTTTTCCAAAAACCTATGAGCTCAAATTGAAAACTTCTAAAAAATTTAACGTTTCGAAAAACAAAATATGGTTATATACTTATCGCCTATATTTTCAATGAAAGAACCAAGTCATGCGTCCAATGGCTTGCATACTTCAAAATATATGTGCACAAAAATAGCTAATTAAAGAGAAGGTGCTACACAAAGAAACAACATCCTCAAATGCTGACCTTCCAAATCCCCATTGCATTGTAAAGGAGTCCTATTTACCAAAAGAAAAAAAAGCAAGTGCATTTATAAACAAAATGTATAAATGAAGTTGGGAAACTTACTAGCTGTATATCTTGAACGGACACTTTCCGACCTTCTCCACTAGACATCTGGCAAGTTAACAAAACCATTGCCCATATCAAATACTACTCTGGATCAAACTTTGAAGTGTCATTCTGTCAGAATTACATATTTTTCACTAAAAGAAGTGCAGGACTCAATAATCAATATGCACAAGGTAATGATGTGTATACAGTTATTCTCTTGTTTCCATAGAAAACTTGAATTAGTAGCTTCAAGTTAATCATCTTATGTCTGATATGTTGTGCAAGTAAAATTCACTACCTAATTAGAAGAAAAATTATCCAAGAATTGGCATTACCAAGTTCAGTGAAACCAGTCTCGATTTTTGCCTGGAGTAAGAGAGTATTCACGACTTTCTCTCTGGCTCATGTAAAGCTGAAGACACCTTTCTATAAGATTTTGAACCTGATATTAGAGAAGAGCATAAATTTAGCACCATGACGGCAGATATTTAAAAATATAAACTGAAAAAAGAGGGGGAGGGAGAGCTACTATTGCTTCCACTGGGAAGATTTTAAGTCAAGATTGCCAGAAATGCAATGACCTAAACCTAATGAGAAAAAACCGTCCTTAGTTCAAAGATCATGGACGATTAAATTTTTGCACGTCATTTTTCCAAAAACCTATGAGCTCAAATTGAAAACTTCTAAAAAATTTAACGTTTCGAAAAACAAAATATGGTTATATACTTATCGCCTATATTTTCAATGAAAGAACCAAGTCATGCATCCAATGGCTTGCATACTTCAAAATATATGTGCAAAAAAATAGCTAATTAAAGAGAAGGTGCTACACAAAGAAACAACATCCTCAAATGCTGACCTTCCAAATCCCCATTGCATTGTAAAGGAGTCCTATTTACCAAAAGAAAAAAAAGCAAGTGCATTTATAAACAAAATGTATAAATGAAGTTGGGAAACTTACTAGCTGTATATCTTGAACGGACACTTTCCGACCTTCTCCACTAGACATCTGGCAAGTTAACCAACAAGATGAGACTTATTTGAGGTGGTAAATTTTTCATTACACCGTTATGTAAACCACTTAAAATGACTACATCAATTCAGGTAGATAGGTATATTAACATATAAAGATTGCAATTAAGAAGAAAAAGGTCCAAGAAAGTGTAAGGCAAAAACAATAGTTCAAGGGGAACATTTCGTGATGAACGAAGAATTAACAGAAGGTAAAATAGTTTAACATATTAACAAATACAGGAAAAGTTATCAAAAATGTCGGCAATACAGATTGTGTAGCAACAAAAACATGCGGCCCGGTGAACTTTTAGCAAATTTTCAATTGAACCAGTAAACTTAATTTTGTCACAACCGAGTCTGTTAATTTAAGCATTTTATACAATTGGGCCACCCCTTTAAGGTTTTTTTGGTTTGACTACAAGCAGGCAGTCTAGTTGACAAAGTTTGTAATAAATAGGGACACATGTGAGCAGAAACATCGTAAATTATTATCCCATGGCATTAAATGCAATTAAACAAAATCTAAAAGTCAAAAAAGAAATCACACGCATAGCACTTATTTTGACCCTTCAATATGGTAGTCACTTTCAGAATCAAATAATATTTTACACGTGTACATTAGATGATCAAAACTTTAAAGCTGTTAATCCGTTGAGAACTTCTATAAAGCACATATAGAACCATAAAATCTTTCACAGAAATCACTCCAACATCAGCATTCAGCCAACGACCATTGTTATCAGAAGATAAAACTCAAGCACTCGTTAAACATAACAGGCATACATGTGAATACACACACAAATATGCATCTGGATATAATCTACTCATTCATATGCAGATATGGAAGCTTCACAATAAAAATGGTCGAAGATGGATCTAGATAACAATATTTTTGTTAACTTAGTATTTATTATACAGGAAATATTGTAAGGTTTTCAAAGTGATTTTTTAGTAGCAACTAGCAAGGTAGAATTCAGAGAACCGATACGTTTCATAGACGGAAATGGTTCTTGTGAAAGCCATTTCCATGCATTTAATATGTTGAAAAAATTATAATAAAAAACCTTTTGTTACCAGAACTACTTACGACATTTATTGGAAGAAAAGGTGCAAACGCAACATTTTTATTTGGTTATTTCAATGTTGATGTTGGTTAAGTTTCTTTTTTGGGAAACATTATTTTCGAACTTTTCTCTCATCTCCCATGACAACCACTAGTCATGGCCCAAATTCCTGATTAAACAGCTCTAGTAAGACTCCCACATATACCAATTAACCCCTCTACCACAAACTAAACACGAAACCTGCCTAATCTACCAATCACTTTTCTTTCCAAATGTAATGTTTGGCACAAATTCGTACCTAGATTCACGGCATTTTTTTTCCCACTGTCCTCTAACCTCAGAATTCTTGCAAGCACAGGTTCTTATTTTAACTTCTTCTCCAAAATGAATTATTATAGCACCATATTCTTCCATCTGGTATTTTATTCTCTTTTTTATCCCATAAACAGCTCTCTGTTCGTTAGTACTCTGTCTAAGCCTTTAATATTGGGGGGGAATCATGAGAACAGCTATTTAAGAAAGCTTTGTCAAATTAAAGTTTACTATAAACTTTTCTTGATTAAAGAAAAAAATAATATTTTTTTGGTTCGTTTATTTGTGTTATAATATAGCAGCCATTATTACCCTTCAAGATTAACAATTATTAACTCCTCCAACAAAAGGATTGTTCAAAAAAACGCAGACGAGGCATCAAGAAAACCAAATCCTCAAGTAAGATCACAATAATCCATTAATTTTCAGCCATGATCACCATCAAAACAAACTCCAAAACCCTTGTTCCAATAGGGAAAAAAAGGGAAAGAAAGAGGAGCAATCCGAACCAAAAGATCACATCGCACATACACCAAAATATATATGCATGCAATTTGCAAAAAAAAAATTAAAATTAAAATAATGCAAAACCATAGAATAAAGTATTGAACTTTATTGAATTCACGGGTGTATTTACCTGAAACTTTCTTGGGTTCTTCAAGAAACTTTTTCGGTTGCAAGATTGAGAGAATTTAGAGAGAGAATATTTTTCGGACAGATAAAATAATGGATGGGTCTTTAGTTACTGCGACTTACGTTTCAAGGTACATTAATACGAGGAACAGATTATTCATAAGTTTTGAAAATTACGAGGTCAAAGTACAACATTTAAACCACAAAAAACAATATCATGCTGACGTTTTCAAATAAAAATCCCGTGGCGTTATCCATTAAAGAATTTGATAGTACCAGACAATGATTTTCTATTGGCAAACTTATGTGACACTCATTAAGTATAAAGTACAACTTGTTATTGCTTCATGGGTGTGGTGGAGTTATAAATGGAGACATATAACAAAATTTGAGTCACTGGGGCCAATCTGCAGGAGAGGGGATCCGATGATTGAGACTGGCTTATTCACATTGGATTTGTCACTGTTAGATCAAAGTTAACTTTTCTTCTAGCCTTGAACTATTATTTGAGCCATTGAACTATAAGAAATTATCATTTTACTCCCTTAATTTGTATAACATATCAAATATATCCTCGTATTGGATTTCTAATTTTTCCACATTTTTTTAATCTTTTACTATAGATTATAAAATTGCTCCCATTGTGTCATTCAAGCAATATCATCCCAAATTAATTAAAAAAATCTTGATGTTGCGTGAAATTATGATTTATTTATTTTTACCACATTATAAGTATGGCATATTTCAATATTAAAAAAACAAGTTTCAAACACTTCAAAAATTAGATTTTTATTAAAATTTATTTATGATTTAATTAATTAATTAATTGAATATATTTATGTCACATATCTATACAATATGATTACAAATTAACAATTTAATTAGTCGCTTACTATTTTTTGGTCACAAATCAAAAATTTTATTTCACAAATTATTTTACGATCACAATTCAAAAATTTTGAAGGTCACAGTTTGTTCATTGATCATAAATCAAAAAAATAATTAATCACTGATTAATTTTTAGTCACAACCTATCATATTATTGGCCACAACTTATTTTTTATTCATAAATCAAAAATTTTATAAGTTATATATTATTTTTCGGTTACGAATAAAAAAATTTATAGATCACAAATCACAAATATTATAGATCACAACTTATTAAACAGTCACAAATTATTTATTTTTAAGTCACACATTATTTTTTGTTACAATTTATCTTTTTCATTGGTTATATATTATTTATTGATCATAAATTAACCAATTTCACTAATCACAATTAATCAAATAATCTGTAATCATTACCAACACTTAAGACCACTACTTCAAAGTTGCCTCCAACAGCACCACCACCATCGTCACCGCCAAGACCACCATCACATTGGTCACAAATTAACCAATTTTTTAGTCACAACTTTCAATCAACCAATAAAATCGTCACATACACCCCCACCCCATTCCACCACTACAAAGCACTGAACCACCACCAACCACCAACGTGCCGCCCACCACCACTACCATTGACATCACCATCACTACAACACCAATAGCACCCACGTCCCATTCCACCACTCCAAAGCACCGCACCACCGACAACACCAGATCATGTCAACAATGCCATTCCCACGCACAAACCACTCGCCACAAGAACCACAATTGCCGACCACCGCTAAGCATATCGAATAAAAAATAAAAAATTGCAAATTCGAGCACCCGCCACCACAAGATCTACCAACAAAATCGCCAACACCCCACAACCGTCATTGCCTTACTACCATCGTCGCCACTTCCAACAACAAACAAATTGCTGCCACCAAGCGCCACCTCTACCATTTTTAACCACCACTTCACCCAAACACACATTCACAGAATAGGCGAGAATAAACCAGCCGGCCAAAAACACAAAATAAAATCGTCACCACCAACAACAAACATAATTGCCAAACGCCTCTACCAAATCTACCGATCTGAGCATTGCTACTAAGCACCACTCACAATGCTGCTCGCCGCAACAAATGGCGGACGTCATTCTCTCCGACGAAGCGCCTCTGTGCGTGACTTCATAGGAGATAACAGCGCTGATTGGTGGTGGCTTTGGCGGCCAGAGAGGGAAATGGTGAAAATATGGAGAGAAGATAGAGAAAAAGGGTAGAAGAAAGCAAGAGGAGAGTGGGGAGAAGGCTGGATCGTCGTCTGATAAGAGAGTGAGGGATAGAGAGAGAGACAAGCAAGGGAGAAGAAAGAGATGGGTAGTGGGTGTTAAGATTTGGGGTCCATCTTAATAAGGTCAACCTTATTAAGAGGAGTAACCCAAAATCTATTTAAGTTGGTTAACATTTCGGTATTTAACCGATGTGAGATTTATTTCCTTAACATACCCCCACAAGATGATGACTCTTTTTGAGCAGAACAATCTTGAAATCCGTGTACTCATTTTTGAGACTTAATCGGATCGAATAGCTCGTTGGAGTTTACTAAACTCTGATACCATATTAAGATTTGGGATCCATCTTACATCTTAATAAGGTCAATCTAATTAAGAGGAGTGGTCCAAGATCTATTTAAATTGGTTAATATTTCGGTATTTAACCGATGTAGGATTTATTCCCTTAACATGCCTCCACAAGATGGTGACTTTTTTTTAGCAGACCAATCTTGAAATCCCTGTGCTCATTTTTGAGATTTAATAGGATTGAATAGCTCGTTGTAGCTTATTGGGCTCTGATACCATGTTAAGATTTTGGATCCATATTAATAAGGTCGACCTTATTAAGAGGAGTGACCCAAGATCTATTTAAATTGGTCAATATTTCGGTATTTAATCGATGTGAGATTTATTCCTTTAACAGTGGGTAGGGTTTTTATGTTTTTGGTAATTATTTTATTTAATTAATTAATAAAAAATTCTGGTTTTTAAACTATCGAACTTCCAACCTGATTTAGAAATTTTAAATAATTAAAGTATGGTTTTGTATAATTTCCACATATATAAATGGTTTATAAATAAAATAATTGTGAATCCCACGAAATGTGTGAATAATAGAAAGTAATAAGATCCCCTTTGATTTATCTTATTTCTATTTCGTATGTATGTAATTCAGATGAAAATGAAGATTGAATCAACAAAAGAGTAAAGAAGAAGTATTATTTGTTTAAAGTGAATTAAAATAAATGTTGTGTCAAACGATTAGCTTTTATTTTATGGGATTTGTTTTATGGTTTATGTATTTCGCAAAATTAATTAACCAACGGAATTAAACTTTCTTTAAATAATATATGTCAACCTATGCAAATTGACTAAAGCCCTATTGGCAAACTTATGTGACACTCATTAAGTATAAAGTACAACTTGTTATTGCTTCATGGGTGTGGTGGAGTTATAAATGGAGTGTTATATAACAAAATTTGAGTCAGTGGGGCCAATCTGCAGGAGAGGGGATCCGATGATTGAGACTGGCTTATTCACATTGGATTTGTCACTGTTAGATCAAAGTTAACTTTTCTTCTTGCCTTGATCTATTATTTGAGCCATTGAACTATAAGAAATTATCATTTTACTCCCTTAATTTGTATAACATATCAAATATATCCTCGTATTGGATTTCTAATTTTTCCAAAATTTTTTAATCTTTTACTATAGATCATAAAATTGCTCCCATTATGTCATTCAAGCAAAATCATCCCAAATTAATTAAAAAAATATTGAAGCTGCGTGAAATTATGATTTTTTTTTTTACCACATTATAAGTATGGCATATTTCAAAATTAAAAAAAAACAAGTTTTAAACTTCAAAAATCAGATTTTTATTAAATTTTATTTATGATTTAATTAATTAATTAATTAATTTATTAATTAAATATATTTATGTCACATATCTATACAATTTGATCACAAATTAACAATTTAATTAGTCACTTACTATTTTTTTATCATAAATTATTTTACGATCACAATTCAAAAATTTTGTAGGTCACAGTTTGTTTGTTGGTCATAAATCAAAAAAATAATTAGTCACTGATTAATTTTTAGTCACAACTTATCAAATTATTGGTCACAACTTATTTTTTGTTCATAAATCAAAAATTTTATAGGTTATATATTATTTTTCGATTACGAATAAAAAAATTTATAGGTCACAAATCATAAATATTATAGATCACAACTTATTAGACAGTCACAAATTATTAATTTTTAGGTCACATTATTTTTTGTCACAATTTATCTTTTTCATTGGTCACATATTATTTATTGATCATAGATTAACCAATTCACTAATCACAATCAACCCAATAATCTGTGAACATTACCAAAACTTAAGACCACTACTTCAAAGTTGCCTCCAACAGCACCACCACAACCACATTGGTCACAAATTAACCAATTTTTTAGTCACAACTTTCAATCAACCAATAAAATCGTCACATACGCCCCCATCCCATCGCACCACTACAAAGCACCGCACCACCACCAACCACCAGCGTGCCGCCCACCACCACCGCCATTGACATCACCATCACTACAACACCAATAGCACCCACGTCCCATCCCACCACTTCAAAGCACCGCACCACCACCAACACCAGATCATGTCAACAATGTCATTCCCACGCACAAACCACTCGCTACAAGAACCACAACTGCCGACCACCGCTAAGCATATCGAATAAAAAATAAAAAATTGCATATTCGGGCACCCGCCACCGCAAGATCTACCAACAAAATCACCAACGCCCCACAACCGCCATTGCCTCACTACCATCGTCCCCACTTCCAACAACAAACAAATTGCCGCCACCAATCGCCACCTCCACCATTTTTAACCACCACTTCACCCAAACACACCTTCACAGAATAGGCGAGAATAAACCAGCTGCCCAAAAACACAAAATAAAATCATCGCCACCAACAACAAACATAATCGCCAAACGCCTCTATCAAATCTGTTGATCTAAGCATCGCTGCTAAGCACCACTCACAATGCTGCTCGCTGCAACAAATGGCTGGCGTCACTCTCTCCGATGAAGTGCCTCTGTGCTCGACTTCATAGGAGATAACAGCGTTGCTTGGTGGTGGCTTTGGCGGCCAGAGAGGGAAATGGTGAAAATATGGAGATAAGATAGAGAAAAAGGGTAGAAGAAAGCAAGAGGAGAGTGGTGAGAAGGCTGGATCGTCGTCTGATAAGAGAGTGGGGGATAGAGAGAGAGACAAGCAAAGGAGAAGAAAGAGATGGGTAGTGGGTAGGGTTTTTATTTTTTTGGTAATTAGTTTATTTAAATAATTAATAAAAAATTCTGATTTTTGAAATATCAAACTTCCAACCTGATTTAGAAATTTTAAATAATTAAAGTATGATTTTGTGTAATTTCCACATATATAAATGGTTTATAAATAAAATAATTGTGAATTCCACGAAATGTGTGAATAGTAGAAAGTAATAAGATCCCTTTGGATTTATTTTATTTCTATTTCGTATGTATGTAATTCAGATGAAAATGAAGATTGAATCAACAAAAGAGTAAAGAATAAGTATTATTTGTTTAAAGTGAACTAAAATAAATGTTGTGTCAAACGATTAACTTTTATTTTACGGGATTTGTTTTATGGTTTATGTATTTGGCAAAATTAATTAACCAACGGAATTAAACTTTCTTTAACTAATATATGTCAACCTATGCAAATTGACTAAAGCGCCTTGACATTTTGTAGAAAAATAATAATATAAAATTACTAAAAATAATATTAGTCAATTAGTCAACTTGACTTCAAGTGATATATATGGCACATTTCACATAAAACAATCAAGTTAATTATTGTGCAAATAACTAACTTGATTAATAGTGGTCACATCTTCTAACATTTGTTAGCGATAGGTATTGTCGATTTAGATGACCGACAAACATATTATCTCTTCTTAGGTTTTTTGGGAATAATTTCTTCTTATGGGAACACTACATATTAAATGACTTAGATATTGTGCTTGTTTTTGTATATGGTCAAATTGTGCTTTCTAGTATAATATGAAGGGGATATGTGAGAAAATTACAAGGTTTGTTGTTGTTATTGTTTTTGGTGAACATTCCTAATATTTTCGTTGTTTTCATATCCACTTGTGTTCTCAATTTGGCAAAAGAATAGCTTTTCAATATTCCCCACATAGTTTTCATAACTTTTCAAAAAGAGACGATTTTGATTTTGATTTTGATTTTGATAGGCCACATACAAATAATTTTTACCGAAAATATATTTTATGACAAAATTGTTGTTTGGAGCCTTAAAAGCATCCAAAAATATATTGAAATATAAGAACTAAAACTAAGAGTCTAGATCCGTTGTCCTATGCTTGAATTTTGACACCCAGAGTCCAGAAATGACGTGGACAAGAAATCATCCGTAGAGATGAGGTCATAACCATTCATGATTGTAACATTTACGTCCATGGTGACAAACATTATGAGTAACACAAAATTTGATCGATCTTTTGTGAAAATAATTTGTACGGATAATTCATCTCATCGAAATATGATGAACGGCTCTCCTTCTCTTCTCTTTCCCCTCTGTACATGTTCGTAAATGTTATACTCACCCTAACTAAAAAGAAAAACAAGAGATGAACTAGAAAGTTGAAGAAACATTTAAATTGAAAATAGAAAAGAATATTAATAAATTACAATGATTAACTGGACAACACAGTAAGGCCACTAAGTTGGGGCCTTGTTCTGTCTACAGAAAGGCTTTCATCAATGGCTTTCCACTTGTTATTGGATTGTGCTGTCTGTAATTGATTATTTTCAGATGCTTCTTCTGCTGTTGCTGTTGCTGATGCTGATGCTGATTCTTCTTGTTTTTCTTCCTGTTTCTCAGGGTTTTCAAAATCATTGCATTTGCTTCTAATCATGAGCTGCTTAAGCTTGTTTACATCTGATTTCTTCACTGGCTTTAGCAAAAATTCTTCTGCTCCTTCCTCTAAGCATCTGTCATTATATTCCATCGACAAACATTAGCCCAAGAAATCGTGCTTTTAGACGAGATGGTATAAGAATTCAAGTTCGGCAGCTATCCGTTCATGAAAATTGGGCTATTAATGAAGAAGAAAATAATCTAGTCTCGATATAAGTTCTAGATGAGGTGTGGTTCAACACATGATACACGGGCTCGTGTAAAAAATAAAAATAAATAAAAAAATAGAAAAATAAAAAATAAAATTCTTACTTATTGATCCTTGAGGGAACATCCTCGGAGGACATAATAACAACTGGTATGTTTCTCAAGGTTGAAGATTCCTGTCAAAAACAAGAAAGCCCACATGTTTACTGAGGCTGACCAGGTACCATGTTTGTTGCTGGACAAAACTAAAAGCACTATGGACAATATTTTAGTTCTTTTTATTGTTCAATTAATACTACAAATCTAGATAACAGAGAATGCTAAGTGCGTGTTCGGGAGTGATTAAAAGCTCCTTAAAATAGGCATCTTTCAGTAGCATCCTCTTAGTATGTCGTCGTGGACGTGTTGATCGTTTCCTCTTTAATACTGTCTAATACCTTTTCATATGATCTTTAGTGTCAAAAAAAATAAAATAAAAAAAAATTGAATGCCAATGGAAAAATGACTTTAGATAGAAAATATTGGTTGGGCTAAAATGTTCTTTCAATATATATGTGAGGATTGTCTTATACGTGCATAATGGTTTATTTAACCGTTTACCTACTACTCACATCATTTGAGAGGGACCTATGTTCGGATTATTAAATAACACATGGGACCCGCGTGCTTGTGAGGGGGTGTAAACGGTTCGGTACAATCCCTCAGTACAAATGGTTTATTCCTATATGTGATTACACAAATCAGTTGTGGGGAAGATTTGGCAAAGATTCTTATTGATCTAAAATGAAAGACAAGAAAAGGACCCATGTGGGCTAACTTTTTTTGCTTCACATAAATCCACAAAACTACAGCCTGGATCAGGAAAATTCAAATTTCCCAGGGAAATATTTTCCAGGAAAGGAAATCATTCCATGTTGGTGTATATAAATGATGGGCAGAAATCAAGAAAAATACCTTCATTTTCTTGAGCAAATCATAGCCTGTCATTTCTGGCATACAATAGTCTGTAATAACAAGATTTACTTCCACTTCCTGCAACAACCAGAAAACACAGTATGGAGTCTCTGTAATAAAACGCAGCTGCTCGTTTGAGCTTTTTATGTTGAGAGTTTCCCTTTTTTTTTTTTTTTTTTTTTTTTTTTTGAACCACTTCACCTTTTGTTAATTACAAAATAAAGAGGAGCTCCAGTTGAGCTCTAACTAATCATAAACAAGAACAGATTTGCTCCACCCTAAGAATGAGTTTGAACCTTACATGTTCATAAATGATTATCAATTTCATACCCCTTACTTAACACACTGGACATAAATATTCTTGGAAAATCCAAGAAAAACAAGAAGGCAAAATGAAAAGAAAGAATAAAAATTACCTGATTATTTTTGGGAGAAACAGAAGTTTCATTTGAGTTGTTTCTGTCATCTTCTTCCCAACCAAGAAATTCTAAAGCTTTGCTACCAGAATCAACTGTAGTAACTGTCATGGGCAAATGCAAAATACCCAGGAAAAAAAGAAAAGACAAAAACAAAAACAAAAGCTAAATGGATCAAAATAATAGAAAAGATTGAAAAAAAAAAAAAACACTTTTCCCTGTATTTTCTTTCTGTCTATACTAATCAAGAAAGTAAAGTACCTAGAAAAGATGATGTTTTAAGAAGCCTTTCAACGAGCTTTCTGTCAATCAAATTGTCATCGACAACTAAAACATGAAACTTTGTGTCTTCTTCACCTGCCATGCCCATTGTCAATAAGAGTATGGTGAAAGAAGAAATTGTGAAGAAAGAAGCTGAACAAAAGTTGGGTTCTCTTTTTCAATGGTGGCCTTATTTGTTTTTTTGTATGATGAGAGAAAAGAGGAGAAGATGAGCTTTGTTTTGAGATTAGACCCACCAAAATCCACAAACCCGCAAAGCAAGATCTTGCCAGATCTTTTGTCCAAGGATCTCCAAAATTTCCAACTTGGTATTGAATTACTGGACAAGAAAATATTAAGTTAATTGATTACTGTAATGTATATAATAAGAATAAAGAATTGCATAATACATATCTTGAACATGGGCTATTACTTTGAATCCTTTTTTTAGCCAAAAATGCATTTTGAAATAGGGATTAAATGGAGAATGTATGATTAAAAAATAAGAAAAAAATTTGAGTTTACTTGAAATATTACTTCATTGAAAAATATAGTTGAAAATAAGAGAGAAAAATGTATTTTACAAACTTTTCCCTTTTTTTTCAAAAACTCATTTTTTTTTTCAAAACTCATTTTCAATCACTCGTTCTTCTATAAAATAATTTTACACGTAAATTGAAAATTTTTCTTTGTTTCTTTCTTAATTACACGCTCTCCAGCCAAAAAAAAAAAGCATTTAACAAGGGCGTATGAATTATGTTCGGGGCGAGGGGGGGGGGAGTTGGGTGAGGTGTGGTGGGGGTTGAAAAGAGGAGTGTTGAAAGCAAAAGAGGGATTTGGGGTTCACTAGTGGTGCTGTGAAATGATGGGTCTTACTGGTGCGTTGAAGCAAAAGAATTTTGTGAATAAAGAAAATTCACAGGATGCATAGCGAATGTAACCGGAAAAAAATAACAGTAATAATTATTATTTTCATACCTTAGGAAATTTTGCTTCAAAATAATTACTTTCATAATCCAACATTTTAGTTGATAAAAGTTTGATTGTAGAATTCGATTTAACACCGAAAGCGATATTTCGATGGCTCATTTATGTGAACTGCACGATGCTATATGCAATTTCATAAATAAATAAATTTAGTCCCTATTTGAGTTTTCATAAATTCATTTTCAATTATACATTTTTTCGATAAAATAATGTTATACGTAAATTTTAAACTTTTTTCTCCTTTTAATTACACATTCTTAAAAGGTACAATGGCCCGAGCGACCTCAAACCCTTCGTTTTTTGCTTTTTGTTGGGTTGTAAATAGTCCCCGATGGAACTAGAGTGGAAAGGATTAAAACTTAAAACAGTTATTTGCTCTTGGAGCAATTCGTTATGTCAAGCTCCTCAAAAACAACGTAGTAACATCTTTTTTACATAAACATATGCATTTGCCATACTTGAACTTTTACATAAACTTAAAAACGACTAAAAAGAGAAAAATGATATAAAATTTCGCAACTATAATATCTTTTTAATCGAACATATCAAAAATGTCCTAAGGATTTTCTTTTTAAATAACTAAAATGAAAAAGGAAAAGTAAAAGAAACTTTTGAAGTCAAATGATGCGAATGTGTATGGTGGGTTTNATTTATGTAAACTACTTTATTCTTATTAATTACTTTTGTATTACACTTAATCCTGCAACGAGAGCTAATCATCATACTTAATACCGAAAATCAAAATTCAAGAAAAATAATTTAATTTTTTATATCAAAGTTTTGTTGCTACCTAGACTGCGAGGCATTGATCACATCTTAGTTATAGGATAAAACTTCTAGAAGTTTGTTGACTCTCTCATAATTATTGTTTTAATCTTGAGGACTCCAACTAATTATTCTTTTAGTATATCCCAAAGTGCGACACAAAATGCAAAACCAGAAAGGGTGAATAAAGTGGTAAAGTTATACACTTTGAAAAGAAGCAAAGTCAAAAGATGAGAATTTTGACTTTTCTTCCTACTCGAATAGAGTTAAAGTAAGCAATTTATTTATTTATTTATTTGCTTTGGGTATGAAAATGTTTAGTGGTGCTAATTAAGATCTTAAGAATTGATGCTTCAACAGAAAAAATATACATGTAGCATTACATTCTAATTGATAATATTGTTTTTATTTTTAATAAATCAAAATAAAGACTATAATAAATACTAAAAATTAATATTTTTATTCGCATTTGTTGCTAGCAAATATCTTGGTTAATTATTTTGCACATGAAATTAAATTCAAAGTTTATTTTACTCCTTCCGATCCACAAAGATATGCTTGTCTCAAAGACTGAGAAAAATTCATAATAGAATTAGAACTATAAATTTTACTTACCTTTTTAATATATACATGCATTGAATAATCATAGTTCATATTTATTGATAACAAGACATATTAAAAATTAAGAAATTAATTATATGCTAAAAAAGAAAAGTGATCTATAATTTGAGATAAATTCAAAAAAATAAAAAAAAAATGGAAGAAGTAAGTCTATCTCTATAAGACGAAGGGAATAAGAGTACGCAAATTCATCACCTTGAGAGGCACAATTCTAATAAAAGTTGGGAAATAATAATATTGTAAATTGTAATGATCTGCTGTAGTTGTTACCACGTGAATAGACAAGATTTTTAAGAAAAAATTTAAGCAATACATTGAACCTTCCTGCCAACCGAATTAATTACTTATATTTAGGAGATTTTCCATGCACACGAGATCTTCTTTGGTAATAAATAATTCAAATAATTATTGTATACTCTTTGTATTTTCTTTGTTTACTAGCATGTTCTTGAAATATTAACGAGTAATACAAAACTTTTATCCTAATCGCTGGACAATTATATTACGTTCATTCTTCCCACTTTTTGTTGAAATGAATTGTCAAAGGCAAGGGAAAAAACTAATTATATTCAAGATTTCGTACTTTCTTTTCTAATCATGAATGCTACTTGAAAAATTCAAGACTCGAATTAATATCATGTCAAGTTGACTTAATTTTTAAACTTGTTTAAGTCAAATATGTTAAAAGAAAAATTATATTAATGTAATAATAAAAGAAGAATTATACAGAGAGCAAAAATTAAATTTTACTCATTATTTTCTTTTGAAGATATAAATAATGTATTGAATACCTTAGAAAGATGCTCGACTATCGAAAATAGAGAATTGAAACTAATAAAGAGCATACTGAAGATGCACTTATCTATTTATTATTGCTTTACTAGCTTCTTCTTCTTCTTCTTCTTCTTCTTCTTCTTCTTCTTTTAAAAAAAAGCAAAGATACTATTATTGCTTTACTAGTTATGTAACTTTTCTTGCTATGTATATCCGCACTATAGATTCTCTTTTTGGCATTGTTTGGTTTGATATTTCGTAAAATACATACTATATTGTTAGATATACATATTAATACTTGATTTGGTACGTATATGGGGAATAAGCATTCGTCTTTTCGAATAAAACATACTTAGGTTAATTAATATAGATAACTATATTTAAAAAAAAATAAAAATTCTTGTTTTGTGCTATATACTAAATTAATACAAAAAGGCTACATTTGAAAACTCCAAAAAATGAAAATTTTGAAATTTGGAAATCCGATGGTTAATTGCATATCAAAATTATAATTCGAAACATAACATTAGCAACAATTTTGCAATTGCATTTTGCATCACATAGTAACTCAACTTAATTAAAAATATTGGACAATGTTAAATAAAATTAAATTTTAAAAAGTTATTATTATATTATTAATATCTAGTAGCTTATAAGAATCAATAAGAATACCTATATTAATCAATCTTATCCCTTTCTTCCATCCGTCTAGAGCTGAATGAACAATTGATTAATTGCGACTCGACTTGTCACTTTGTAAGACCATTTGGACATCGGTCCAATGAAATATAGAGTCAAATATTATGATATGAATCTTGACAAAACATGCATAACATGTCCAAGCTTTGGACCACACCAGAAAAATCTTTTTGCCAGCTTGCTCATTAGATTTATTTTGTCTTGGTTAAGTTTTAATCTTTAAAGAAATCTGTGTTCATGCACTATGCAAATGTTGTTCTCTTGATATCTATTTATAATCATAACAATATTATTTCTTTATTATATAAGTGATATATATTGCTGTCAAGAAACAAAAGAAACTATTTTTGGTGATTCTTCTTAGTAATCTATTTATGTTATATTAAACAATGGTTTGTTGGGGGCAAATGGGGTTTATTTTTAACTAGTACAATTGGGACTATTCGTTTGCCGACAAAAACTCTTTAAAATTTTATAGGGTACGTTTAACAAAATAGTACAAGAATGAATAAGAGGAGACATTGAAAGTTTTGTGTCATCAAGAGTACTGTTATTCACCCGAATCGTCCCATTTATCAATATGAGGAGAGGTTTGGTTTCAAACCGATTTGAACAAGAGCAAGACGCAATGATAATGTGCCTATTTGAGGATGCGTTTTTAGGATTAGCTCACCCTCATGGGATCGCGACTCTTTGTCCTAGCCATGCTTCGTAATAACTAGATAACAATGTTAAAAAGAAAACTTTGTGATTTTCGTAGATTCTATTCATGCAGTGTTCTGAAAAATGTAAAACTTGGTTAGGTAGGGAGGCCAAATTTCAAGTTTTTCAAGTTTTGGTGAACTTGGGCGTGATCTAGGCATAAAAAAGTGTTTTTTAAATTTTTAATAGTATTTTAAAATTTTAATCATTTAATAATTAAAATAATATATATCATACATTAAAATTATAAAATACTAATATCTACTTAAAAATTTCTACAATTAGTCAATTATACAAAAATTTTCAAAATACAAAAGTTAGACTAAAGTCATTTAAAAATTTGAAACTAAAGCCAAATAAAAGACTTTTAACAAAAAAAGAAATAAATTAATATGATGCTCCTAGTCGTGAATTAAGTGGTCAACTCTCTCGTTGATTTTTTAATTTCACACTCAATGTCAAGGCATGACGTTTGTCCACGCCTAGTCACGCTTTTTAGAATACTATTTCTGAAACTAGGCCAATTTCTTTCACTGGCTTCTTCTTTTCCGTTGGATTTAGGTTGTCCACGAAAGTTCCTGTGCCTTAAACTTGTTCCTCACTCACAAGAAGGTGAAAGTCCCATTTTCATACAGAAGTATACCCAAGAAAAGAAAGTTTTCATGGTCTTCAGAAATTTGATTTGACTATTCATTACCTTATCTTAAAAAAAAAAAAAAAATCAAAAAGAAGTGAAGATGAAAATAAGACACTAAATTTACCAATGGGTC